TTTACTGCACTTTTTTAAGGAGTGGGGCTATAACCGTTGGCTTTAATAGCTGTGGGATGATTCCGGTGTTCAGACTCCATTTCCATAGAATATTTAAGGCACGTGATAGGGGGTCTTTTGATATTCTTGATGAATACGGAGTTTCATGAGTCTGCTGTACGCCTACCTAGGAGCTGAGTACATGAATACCTTATCAATGGCTTCTTCATAGTCGAGTGGGATTAGGGTTATATTGGAAATTTTTGGGAGGTATCGGTAGAATGTTGTCTCATTATTAACAATGCATTTTAGTTGTTAATTTTTTCTGATTAAAACAGCTCGCCAAACGCAGAGTAATATAGTGGCTTCGGTATTTCACGCATTTGTTTTTTGTCGTCAGTGTAAATTTCATTTCATTTAATTTAAGGACGTGATACAAGACATCGACACACAACCTGCTTATACACGCAGTCTCTACACACATGACAAGGTGACAGAAGTAAGATAAGAGAGAGAGAGACAGAGGAGGGGGGGTGGATAGACTGCATTTTCTTGGACTGCAAGAAGGCCTTCGGCACAGTTCCTCACAAGAGGTTACTGCAAAAGCTAGAGGATCAGGCGCATATAACAGGAAAAGCACTGCAGTGGATCAGAGAATACCTGACAGGGAGGCAACAACGAGTCATGGTACGTGACGAGGTGTCAGAGTGGGTGCCTGTGACAAGCGGGGTTCCACAGGGATCAATCCTAGGACCAGTGCTGTTTTTGGTATATGTGAATGACATGATTGAAGGGATAGACTCAGAAGTGTCCCTGTTTGCAGATGTAAAGTTAATGAGGAGAATTAAATCAGATGAGGATCAGGCAGGACTACAAAGAGACCTGAACAGGCTGGACGCGTGGTCCAGCAACTGGCTTCTCGAATTTAACCCTGCCAAATGCAAAGTCATGAAGATCGGGGAAGGGCAAAGAAGACCGCAAACAGAGTATAGGCTAGGTGGCCAAAGACTGCAAACTTCGCTCAAGGAGAAAGATCTTGGGGCGAGTATAATACCAAGCACGTCTCCGGAAGTACACATCAACCAGATAACTGCTGCAGCATATGGGCGTCTGGCAAACCTGAGAATAGCGTTCTGATACCTCAGTAAGGAATCGTTCAAGACACTGTACACCGTGTACGTCAGGCCCATACTGGAGTATGCAGCACCAGTTTGGAACCCACACCTGGTCAAGCACGTCAGGAAATTAGAGAAAGTGCAAAGGTTTGCAACAAGGATAGTTCAAGAGCTAAGGAGAATGTCCTACGAAGAAAGGTTGAGGGAAATCGGCTTGACGACACTGGAGGACAGGAGGGTTAGGGAGACATGATAACGACATACAAAATACTGCGTGGAATAGATAAGGTGGACAGAGACAGGATGTTCCAGAGATGGGACACAAAAACAAGGGGTCACAATTGGAAGTTGAAGACTCAAATGAATCAAAAGCATATTAGGAAGTATTTCTTCAATCAGAGAGTTGTCAGGAAATGGAACAGTCTAGCAAGTGATGTAGTGGAGGCAGGAACCATACATAGTTTTAAAACTAGGTATGATAAAGCTCATGGAGCAGAGAGAGAGGACTTAGTAGCGATCAGTGAAGAGGCAGAGCCAGGAGCTGAGTCTCGACCCCTGCAACCACAAATAGGTGAGTACGCACACGCACACACACTCACACGACTTACACATATACACACAGACATACATACGGCTTACATGACCTACAGACACACATATGACTTGCGCAAACTCTCATAGATGACCTACATACACCCATCACCTACATACGGTACTACATGGTATCGGTGGTTAACGATAAATAACATTTCATCCAGCTGCAGCAGGAATGAATTTTTAATTTTTAATAATGAACCTCGATGTGACATTCCGCTGGTTATTGGAACCCACACTCTAATATTACAACCACTGAAACATAAAAGCCTTTTCCTTGTAACTGGTATTTTTTGTCTCTGCGGTATATAAAAAGATGTTCAACGTATATATCAGGTGTTACGTTCAGTGGGATCTACGACTAAATTCATTATGCTATATTAGTGTTTACGGACCCAGACATAACCACTATGAACAAGCCTTCATAGCTACGTTAAACAAACAAGCCTTCGTAACCACTGAAACAGAAATAAGCCTTCCTAACCATTGTAAACAGAAAAGCCTTCCTAACCACTGTAAACACCAGGAACAAGCCTTTATGACACTGACAACAGGAACAAGGCTTCATTACCACAATAAACATCAAGAACATAATCACTGTAAACAGAAACAAGCCTTCATACCTACTGCATACAACAGACACAAGTTGTCATAAACGTTATAATCTGAAACAAGCTTTCATAACCACTATGAAAAACAGGAATAAGCCTTCATAACCACTGTAAACAAGAACAAGCCTTTATAACCACTGTAAACAACAAAAACATTTCTTCATAACCGTTATAACATCAGGAACAAACTTCCACTGTAAATAATTCAATTCAATTCAAGTTTATTCTCTATAAGGGTTACAATGTGGGGTTTACAGGTTTTGGGTATTGTGTGGTTTACATGTTATAAAATACTAATTACAGAGGGGGCCACTAGGACACATAGCATGGCTAGGCATTTCGAGCAGACTTAGATTAATTCTTAACATTAAATCCTTACAGATTATGGTATTAAGGCTAAGTGACTACATCATAATTTGTGAGTTTAGCAATGTGAATGCTTTTGTTTTGGCACAATACAAGGTGTCTATATTAGAGTATCATAGGCAAACTTATGACTAGTTAGGATTTATTATTTTAAGATTAAGATTAGTATTTCTGGGTTTATAGTCAGTGGGTGAGTGAGTGTAATTGTGAACCACCAGGTGGTTATCATGTAGTTAGTTGTCGGGGTGGATCAGGGAGATAAGATGTTTTCTAACTGTAGTTTTGAAAGTGATGAATGTGTCTGCATTCTAGAGTTTTCAGGTCGGGTGTTCCAGATTTTAGGTCCTTTGAAATACATTGAATTTTTGTAAAGGTTTAGTCGAACACGGGGAATGTCATAGAGATGTTTGTGTCTGGTGTTATGCCTGTGGATCCTGTCACAACTGTCAAGAAAGCGTTTTAGGTCAAGGTTAATATTGGAATTTAAGGTCCTGTAGATATAGATTGCACAGTAGCAAGTGTGGATGTTCTGAACAGGGAGTAAGTTTAGATCTATAAAGAGTGCGGGGGGGGGGGGTGTTGCCAGGGATGGGATTTAGTGATTATTCTTACTGCGGCTTTTTGTTGGGTTATTATTGGCTTTTGGTGTGTTGCTGCAGTTGAACCCCAAGCACAGATAGCATAGGTGAGGTATGGATATATAAGTGAATGGTATAGTGTGAGAAGGGTAGTTTGTGGCACGTAGTATCGTATCTTGGAGAGGATCCCCACCGTTTTGGATACTTTTTTTGTTATGTGTTGGATATGGGTGCTGAAATTTAGGTTGTTGTCGAGGTATAGGCCAAGGAATTTGCCCTCATTATGTATGGCAATTAGTGTTGTCGATCTTAATGTTAAGTTGCGCAGCACCTGCTCTGCTACCAAACATAATATAGTAGGTTTTGCCAGTGCTAACCTTCAAACTACAAACAAGAGGAGCAAGTCTCTATCACCACTGTAATTAGAAACAATCCTTCAAAACTACTACCGAATATCTCAAGAACAAGCTTTCACGAGCATTGTAAACAACAGAAACAAGGATTCATAACCAACCAGTATAAGCAAGAGCAATCCTCCATATCCATTATAAATACCAGACCGAAACAAGCTTCTGCAGACACTATAAACACAAAACCAAAACAAGCTTCCATAAACACTATAAACACTTGACCCAAACATGCTTATGCAAACACTATAAATATCAGACCAAAACAAGCTTCCATAAACACTATAACACCAGACAAAAACTTCCGTAGCGAATTTATCGTCGTCATCGTCAAAACACATCACATACATTTCAGTTAATCTTTTTAAAAGCGACATACGATCCAATAATGAGATTTCCTTTGTACAACAGGCACGCGGATAACTTTCTGTATAATGCTAGCTGTAATCCAACCATCAGCCATTACGTCTGTTAAATTTCATTAAGCTTTTGTATTACGAAAAACCTCTTACATGGAAAATTATTGATAGTCATTTTATTAAACTAAAAACCGTTCAAAGGAATTTGCAAAACTATATTTTAGTAGAAATAGCAATAGGAAAAGAAGCAGCAGCAATAGCAGTGGCAGCAGCAATACCAGCAGTACCAATAACAGCAGCAGCAATAGCATCAGCAGCCGCAATAACAGCAGCAACGGTAATAGCAACAGCAATAGTAGCAGCGGTAATAGCAACAGCAATAGTAGCAGCGGTAATAGCAACTGCAATAGCAGCAGTGGCAATAGCAGCAGCGGCGGCAATAGTAGCAGCGGCGGCAATAGTAGCAGCGGCGGCAGTAGCAGCTGCGGCAATAGCAGCAGTGGCAATAGCAACGGCAGCAGTAGCAGCAGCAGCAATAGCAGCAGCGGCAGTAACAGCAGCAGCAATAGCAGCAGCGGGAGTAGCAGCAGCAGTAATAGCAGCAGCGGCAGTAGCAGCAGCAGCAATAGCAGCAGTGGCAATAGCAGCGGCGATAGCATCAGCGGCAGTAACAGCAGCGGCAGTAGCAGCAGTGGCAATAGCAGCAGTAGCAGCTGCAGCAAGAGAAGCAGCAACAGTAGTAATAGCAGCAGTAGCAACAGCAGCAGTAGCAACAGTAACAATAGCAACAGTAGCAATAGCAACAGCAGCAATATCAGCAGCAACAATAGCAACAGTAGCAATAGCAACAACAGTAGTAGAGGCGGCAGCAGCACAAGTAGCAGCAGCAGCAACAGCAATGGCAGCAGCAGAAGATTATTTTTATTATTGTTATTATTGTTAAAAATTTAGGCAAAATAAAAAACAGATCAACGCCAAATGTTTATGAAACATGGGATGCGACTTCGAAAATAACCCTGGTAAGGAGGGGGGGGGGGAGAATGGGAAAGCTAGAAAATGATTGAATAGACAGAGAGAGAGAGAGAGAGAGAGGGAAAATAAAAAGGATAAAAATGATAAGTGGCCTGTCCACTTTTCATTTTTACTTGATAATGAATGTGTGAGATTTGAATTTTACGTTATCATGAGATGAACACAGGTTTCATACTGCACGAACCAGCTCACGAACATGTTTACATGAAGAGGTGTATAGTAGCACATGCGTATGGTATACATATGTATGGTTTTTTTTTGTGGTGGAGAGTTACAGCTTCGGAGGCTTGTGGGTGCATGGTGAGTGAATGGGTGGATGCAAAGTGTATCCCAGTTGTGATGTATTTAATAACTTTTTGACGTTAACTGGATCAAAAGTTATCAGTTCTTCGTCTTTTCCTGGTAGATTACTTATTATCCTTGGCCTTGGGAATTTTTCCTTGGGAAAGTAGTCTCACATTTTGTTGATAGGTCATCTTAAGCGCTCTGTGCAGCTATTCACGGATCATATAATTGACGTTGGTGATCGGTTAGGGGTGGGTTTTCTATGTTAGGTAAGTCGAGTTCATTTATACTATGCAGCTGGCGTTTCTTGATCTTGCAATCTTACGCTGAAGGCAGTCATACCTTGTAAAACATGAAGGTCCTCCAGTCTGATCTCTCGCTCAACCGGGTATCTGAAACAAGACGAACTTTATTCTGGACATTTTAAAGTTTCACTATATTGTATTTTGTTGTCAGTGACAGGGTTACACAAAGGTATTTGAGAATTGGCTGTACCATCATCTTAATGAGATGGATTTTGATGTGGGCTGAGGCCTGTCTGAATCTGAATCTCAAAGGATGTTGCTGGCACTCTTCATGGTGATGGGAGTGTTTAATATTAATGCTTCCATTATTTTCAATCTTTGTTGTGCTAATTTGTGTTTTGTCTGGGTTGGTGGTGATTCTCCATTTCTTTTCCTAATTAACTGTCCAATTCAATTCCTTGTTCATCTTTGCTATCATTGTTTTTCTCGGTTTATGGCTGTTGATACCTACTGGGGTTGGGGACACGTATATTACACAATCAACAAACTGGATTATAATAGTGATCTGGCAATCCGTTTGTGAAAGGTCGATGTCACAGAAACAAGCCTTCATACCTACTGCATACGACAGAAATAAGTTTTCATAAACGTTATAATCTTAAACAAGTTTTCATAACCACTATGAAAAACAGAAATAAGCCTTCATAACCACTGTAAACAAGAACAAGCCTTTATAACCACTGTAAACAACAGAAACATTTCTTCATAACCGTTATAAACATCAGGAACAAACTTCCACTGTAAATAACAGGAGCAAACCTTCATAATCACTACAAACAAGAGGAGCAAGTCTCTATCACCACTGTAATTAGAAACAATCCTTCAAAACTACTACTGGAAATCTCAAGAACAAGCATTCACGAGCATTGTCGGCAACAGGAACAAGGATTCATAACCAACCAGTATAAGCAAGAGCAGTCCTCCATATCCATTATAAATACCAGACCGAAACAAGTTGAAGAGATGGACTCAGACAGGAGCCCTGGGGCACTCCAGCTGCTGTGAATATTTCAGCTGTTTTGTAGTTGAAGAAGGGATGATACCTCTGATGGTAAAAAAAACTAACTGTACATCATTCTTAGGAATGTCTAGCTGTGATCGGGAAGGTCAGCAATTTCGAACGTTAGGCCATCGGGCCAGAGATTATCGAATGCATTGTTTACATCTCTTGTTTCACAAGTGCTGTCAAGAGCAATTTCTGAACCCAGACTGCTTCGTGGTGAAAAAATGGTGGAATTCCATTTAACAGTGTATCCTATTCGAAATAATTTTCTCACATATCAAGCATTTGCATATTAAACATTATTAAACTGTTAAATATTAAAATCACATAATATCGCGATTGGAACAATACACAAAAAATCCGCTTAAAGGAGAATGACTTTTATAACCATGTTTTGGTCCAAGTCGGGCCGAAACGTCGCAAGTCTTCTCTATGTGCAGGTTAATTGTGTATTGTTCCATTCACAATATTATGTGATTGTATTATTTAACAATTTAATAATATTTCATGTTTAACATGCGAATGCATGATATTTGAGAAAATTATTTCAAGTAGGATATACTGCTAAATAGAATTCCACCATTTTTTCACCTGGAAGCAGTTTGGTTTCAGAAACCAATGTTGTAAACACTGTTTTCACACATTCCAAGAAACATTAAGGTATAGTTACAAATATATTTAGACTTGCTCATTTACATTCTAAGTGAGCGCTAAACCCGTAGGACTTATACGGCACCTAGTAACGCGTCCAGGTTGTATCCATGGAAGGAGACATTAGGTCCAATTCCTAATATCAAGGAACCTTCCTGGTGGGGTTTGCTTGTTGGGAGCCCTTTAATAAATCCAGGTTTCAGTTTGATGACAAATGGTTGATATTATGTGAATGTTCTTAAAGAAAACAAAGTGACATACTCTCTGCCCAACAGTGTACCCGACCAACGGCAGCGAGGTGAAGGGCAAGGACATTGTACCCCACATTCATCTGCCCTACCAGGTGTTAGTCACCTTCTTCTACATCTTCGGCATCTTGGGTAATATCGCCGCTCTCTACATTATCACCAAAAATGAAACGCAGAGGTATAAAAAACAGGTAAGTTAGCTCCCCCCCCCCCCTCTCTCTCTCTCTCTCTCTCTCTCTCTCTCTCTCTCTCTCTCTCTCTCTCTCTCTCTCTCTCTCTCTCCTCTCTCTCTCTCTCCTCTCTCTCTCTCTCTCTCTCTCTCTCCTCTCCTCCTCTCTCTCCTCTCTCTCTCTCTTCTCTCCTCTTCTCTCTCTTCTCTCTCTCTCTCTCTCTCTCTCTCTCTCTCTCTCTCTCTCTCTCTCTCTCTCTCTCTCTCTCTCTCTCTCTCTCTCTCTCTCTCTCTCTCTCTCTCTCTCTCCAACTCTCTACAAACCCTTAACTTACCAAAACTCATTTTTGAAGCCTGTTGCCAGCAATAGTTTTATTATGAAGGATATTTTTAGTGATCAGTTTACTTCTCCGAGGCATGGGACCTTATAAATGTCAAATTAAGTATGTTTTCCAGTTAGGTCTGATCACAATGTATTACATTAATTGTTCATTGGCCTAAAAATCAAGGGTCGTATATATTTCATATTTTCTTTCTATTTTTATCTCTGAATCGCTTATACAGACGTTCATGTTGCGCTGCCTGGCTGGGAACGACCTGGTGGCGCTGCTGGGGTCCTTCGTCCAGATGTACGTTAGACTTTACCTACCCAACCCCAACAAAAAGTTACTCTGCGCCTCTAGGGTTGTCTTTAGGGCCTTCGGTCTGGGCTCCGGCTGCGTCGCTCTCGTCATGGCGGTCGAGCGATGGCTGGCCCTCACTCACCCATTTACCTACCAGAAAGTGAGTAATTATAACTAGCACATCCATCTTCGTCTCACCTAGGATATGATCTAATTCTGAACTATTTAGACCTTCCCAGCAGTTGGCCTTGATATAAACCATACTATTTATTCGCGAGGAAGCACTAAATAAGTAGGTGTCATACAGCACCCTGGAAATGGAAGGCAATAAGATTTAATTTAAGGGAGAGGAAGAATGTTTCAGTTCTTTAGAACAAGAATTCTTCGTCAGCATCAAGACACTTTCCCTACCTCTGGAAGGTGATTTAGATCATAAGGTCTACTGATTACCTTTCCTGTGTTCTTCCATGTACCTCATTCTAGCCGAGCCATGACTACTCACACTTACAAGCTTCACCTCTTTCTTTCAACTACCTCTTTTTTGACAAATCGTAAGGAGGAGATAGTTGAAGGTGAAATACATAGGAAAAATAAAAGCCAAGCTGAAAGGTTCCTCTTTCAACACTGGGAAGAGGAAGAACTAAACGACTACTCAACCATATACTCTACACATTCTTTACAGTGATGGGTCCCTGTGCAGGAAGAGGTTTCATATGCATATATCATGGATAATATATCACAGACGTTTGGTCATTCTAACAGCAGTGAGAATAACAGATTCAGTAAAGTGATGATGCGTGCTCACGAACAAGAAAACAGGTACAGCAGCCATTCAAGCATACGTATGTGTGGGCAGGTGTGTAGGCGGCGTGTGATTCCGTAAATCTTTGCCAGATCGAGGACAAAGATAACTTCCACTTAGGAAAGTTGTCCCAAAAGATGCAGGCGAGTATGCGCTGAACATATCCACATTGACATTCACATTGATAAATCTTCTTCCCGTCGTAAGATGTAAAAACAAATCTAGGGTCTCATTTTTTCTTTGATCACAATGAGGAATTTTTTTCGCAGTCATTTCTACAGGATCCTCCTTACTAGTCATACTGTTTTTTTTTTTTTACCTTTGTGTTTTCCTTCAGCTATGCGTCTTCTAGGCACTTATGTAATTACTGAAGTCTGCATTGTACAGGGACATACCTTAGATGCCTACTACCCACCGCTACTTAAAGAAGGTAAATAATACGATTAAGATCGACTACTCTTGGCCGATTAACATACAGCGGAAGGAATAGTCATGTACAAAGTCTAGACGTGCACATTAGTATTCTTATAGGTACTAATTTCTGCGTTTTGTATCTCATTTATTTCTGTCTGTAAATACTCTTGTTTTATCTATATATCAGTGCCTACATAGTAATTTTTACCTTCATTTTTCATGCTGGTCAGACGTTAAGAAATAAACATGCATCACCTTGACTCCTAAGAGAGAACTTCCCCAATCTTAAATTTGTCCAGTTATTTTTTTTTACCTGAAAGCTTTAAAGGAATTAGTACACAAATAATTTAGCGTTATCTTAAGCAAATGATAATTTTATTTAGTTTAATATCTTTATTATGCACCCCATACCCATCCTGTGGGCGGTAGTCAAAAGATTACAGAGGTACATAATGAGTCCAGGGACTGGACCCCAAAGTTATGATAGCTGAACTAGTTACAAAGGTAATGAACTCCAGGTAGATCTGGTCACAATCATGGCAAGTTACAGAGGTAATGAATCAGCCTCACTCCTATACAAGGTTACAATCATGAATAAATTACAGAGTAATGAACCACTGATATGTCCAAACCTGGTCACAATTGTAATGAGTTATAAATAGAAATATTAAGTGGGTCATACACCCACTCTAGCTCGCGCGCACACACACACACACACACACGAGGGCGCACGCACAGACATATATGCACACGAGCGTACAAATATATGCATACACAAGCACGCACACACACACACACACACACACCACACACCACAACACACACACACACACACACACACACACCACACACACACACATGGGGCTAGGAGCTATGACTCGACCCCTGCAACCACATATAGGTGAGTACACACACACACAACCACACACACACACACACACACACACACACACACACACACACACACACTATAGCAATCAGCGAAGAGGCGGGGCCAGGTGCTGTGACTCGACCCCTGCAACCACAAATAGGTGAGTACAAATAGGTGAGTACACACACACAACACACACACACGCACGAAAGCACGCACGCACGACACACGCACGCACGCACAAAGCGCACACGCGCACACGCGCACACGCGCACACGCACACACACACACACACACACACACACACACACACACACAACACACACACACACACACACACGGTAATGCATTATTTACAGCTAGCAAAGTCAGGGTATTTTTCCAGAATGGTCTGTAATATACCACTGCGGATAAAATACTTGCCATTTTCTTGAACATTTCTGAGTGAGTTGTTTCTAAAATTTATTAATTTGATCACACTCCAGTACATAATGACGCAGGGTTGACAATAGTCCATCTGGCAAAGTTTACATTTCGTTTGGTCTGGGATCTGGTGGTGGTGATTTAACCTGCCATAGATACTTGAAACCCCAACCCGGAGCCGGGCAGTAGTGAATCCAAGAGTTATCTTGTTGGATGCACCATAAGCATCCCGGCTCCTCCTGCATGATGGAATATGAAAGATGGACGACTTGTGTCAGTCTCCCTAAATTTTAAAGTAAAAGGGTTCAATTGAAGTTTTTGGGGGGGGGTTTTGGGGGGGTTCTCAAACTACAAACCCTGAAACCCAAGTTTGGGTAATTACTCCCTTTTTGAAAGCTTTACACCCTTACCCCAATTTATCTTTCTATCATGCTCTGAAGCCCCAAGTGAGATGGAACCCCACAGCATTTTTGCACTCTGACCCCAACTGCCAAAACCCCTTACTTTTCCATGTCTGGTTCTGACACAAAGCATGCCACAATTTATATTTAATGATTTAAGAGCATTTATGGATACAGAAAAATCAGTTAAAATTAAAGTGTAACCTTAGTTTACAGGGAAATGCATTTGAGTGCAAGGAGGATGGCAAACAGTTCTGTTTAAAGGGGTTAGATGCCCATTTATTGATGCGTGCTCCAAAATTTTTTTATGAGAGCCATCACCTGTGTGAAAACGGGCAGCATTTCCCCAGCTGCACCAGTGGACTGGTGAACAGAACCATCAACTTTAAAAAATTTGTGAGTGTTCTGTGTGAACTAAGTTTCAATGCAGTTTAAGGCCTATTTTTGGCTTCAAGGCGAAGCTTTGGTTGGGGTTTTTAAAGGGAAGATTTTTGGGGGGGAAATGGGGGAATGGTAGTTTGGATTGGGGAAATTTCCCATGGAGCGGGGAAATGTCTGTGTTGTTTAATTTTGCATAGATCACGTGGGCGGGCTCGCGGAGGTGGGTTTCCAGTTTTTTCAATCCATCTGGAAGGATTTCACCAGTGCTGAGGAAATTTTTTGGAAAGGTTTTCTGTGCGGGGGTTTTTGGAAGGGGCTAACCAAAGGCTTTTGGGACCCCAAAAAAGGGAAATTTTTTTTCCCCCAGTAACACGATCTCTAATGCGGGGAAATTTTAAGTTTTTTCCGAAATAAAAAAATTTTTGGGCATACGGGGGCACCCTTTAGGATGATCCCCATTGCTTCGTTTTCCATTTTTTTCGGGGCCCTTCAAGTTTTCCAGTCAGACAAAAGAGCAAGTAGGGGGCGCAGCATAATCAACCAATGATCAAATAAAAGCAAGATACATCATTTTCACAATTTTAACATTAGCCCCCCAACCTGGGAGAAAACCTGCCACAATTTAAATTTCCTTCTCACCTTTCTTTGTATTGGGGGGGACAAAGTCTCGTTCAACAGGCCCCCAAGTAGGGAACCCCCAAAGCCTAGATACCTGTTCTGTTTACTTTTCTAGAAGAGACCCATCATCCCAACTGGATCTGACGAACTTTTGCCTCTCTGTCGAGGGGGAAACGCCTGTTGATTATTTTTGTTTGCCCCCTGAGTTTTTAAAACCCCAGCTCCTACACGAGGCTAGTAAAGGGTTAAGGTTTTTTTTGGGGTGTTGGGAGAACCCGGGGGTGTAAATTTCATTATTTTCATCCCCGAAAACTAACCATATAATGAGGGGGGCTGGCTGGGAATAGCTTTAAAGGGGAAGGGGCATTAATCAAAAAAATTTTTGAAAAGGGTGGGAAAAAAGCAAAACCTCCCAAATGGGGTTCCAAATTCCCAAAATCTTTATTAAATTTTCTTGTCCCGGGAACAACACAGATGACTTTTTTTGACGGGTTTAACCCTTTTAACCCAGCGGAAAAAGCCACCTCCAACATCCCTTCTGGAAAGGGTTTCCCCTTATGATTACATGTCGGTTGGCTCCCTTTAAACCCGGATTTAAAGGTAAAAGGAAAGGGTTTAGTGTAGGGAGTGTCATTTGGTGCAAATTTGGAGAAAGGGGGGTTTAATGAAATTTGGATGCACATCCTTCCTTCATGGGGGCAATGAAAACCGGGGAGACAAGAATTGCTTAATTCTGTGCATAAGCGATTAAAAAATCCTCCTTTGGGAATTTTTTAAACAATGCAGCTGAAAAGGGATATTGGGCAAAAATGAGTTTTGTTGTTTGCCAAGGGTCAAAAATGTAAAGTAAAAGGACACAAGTGAAACTAATGTGACATTTTATTGTAGAAACCCTTTTCGTTTTCCAGGGAGCGAAACGTTGAAACAATAAAATGTCACATTAGTTCATTTTGTGTCTTTTTTATTTTAAAATATTGTCGGAAATTCTACCAATTTTTATTACAAATTTTTAAAAATACTACTATATTGGAGGGTTTTAAAATGAGGGGGGTTAGCAACAACGTAGCCCCCCTTCCCTTTTCCCCAGGAGTGACAGGCCTCTCTTGGACATTTGTTTGGACCTTCGACGATTCTCTCCTTAAAGAGAATACACCCCGATTCGTCAAAGGAAATTTTTTAAAAAAATTTTTCAAACATCAATCAAGGTTTTTAACTTCCCTTTGCCTCATATTTTCCCGTGGGTTTTTTTT